CCCCAGACTCTCCCACCTTGCAATTTCCTGGCAAGCTGACTCTGCTTTGGAAGAATGGGAAGTCCCTTTGCCAGATCAAAAAAGGAGCACAATATGAATGCACAGACACATATAGGTCAAAGTATGAAGGGAAGGAAGTCAGCAAGCATGAAAACATCATAAAAATGAATACTATTTAAAAAAAACACACCCCAACTCATAATGCATTGTTCCCAGAAATGGTTTGATGGATGCCAGAGCTCAGCTCTGGCATACTGTGAATGGAGTACTGAAGCAACTCAGATGCCCTTCTATGGATGGATGGCCATCAAAAATTCCTCAAAAATCCCAGTCGATTTTTTATTCCCCCTTTTACACTTGGCACTCTATTAAAAAGGGACCTGGATGTTGGCTTACCCTAAATCCAAAGCTTGCGAAATGTACTCTTTTGGACCATAATACACAAGTCACCCATCCCTTCAACCAACACAGCTGACAGTTTTTGCTGTGTGCCTTCGAAGCCTTTCCAATTTAAGGAGAACTTAATTAATGATGAAGCTATCAAGGAGTTTTCTAGGGCTGAGAGTATGTGACTCACCCAAGGTCACCCAGTGGGTTTCCATGGCCGAGCAGGGATTCCAACTCTGGTCTTTAGAGTCGTAGTCCAATGCTCAAACCACTACAACGGGTTTAGCCAACAGCCCTGGGACTCAAAACAGTAGCTTCCTAAAATTAAAGAAATTGATAATTTTGGAAATCAGGTTATACATAGAGCCTGGACATTATTTACTTATGTTTTTATTAAAGGCAGGGATAAGCATATTGCGAGAGCCAGTGTGGCATAGTGCTTTGAGTGTTGGATACGACTCTGGAGACCAGGGTTCAATTCCTTGCCCGGCCATGAAACCCACTGGGTGACCTCGGGCAAGTCACATACTCTCAGCCTCTGAGGAAGGCAATGGCAATCTCCTCTGATCAAACCTTGCCAAGAAAACCCCATGATAGGTTTGCCTTAGGGTCACCACAAATGACTTGATGGCACACAGCAACAGGGCTTATTGTAGCCTATGGGCCACATGTGGCCCTTAACCCCATAGTGAGACCCCTTGAACCCCAACCACCAGTCCTCCAATGCCTCTCATTTTTTTTGGGGGGGGGAAATCAGTACAATTTTAGTACATCACCTCTTTTAGTGCAGTAGCACAATCCTATTGAATCCCGGGATTTGTGGTTTTACAATAACTTTAGCCTTCTCTACCAAAGAGAGCTGGTGCCTGACAAAACTACAAATCCCATGATTCTGTAGGATGGAGCCATGGCAGTTAAAGTGGTGTCAAACTGCATTGTTCCTATAGTGTAGATGTACCCTCTTTGAGATAAAATATACAAAGTTTTGAAAAATGTTCTACCTAGTGTTTGTAGTATAATGTGATGCAATGTGTATATGCATATGTGTAATGTCTGTATTTTGTGTTTTTTAATCTAATAAAACTGAACTATTTAAAAAATGTTCTATCTAAAGCACGACCACCACCCAACAATGGTGCCTGTTTTAACTATTGTTATCTTTTATCTTATATACATGGCTAACAGATAGCTCTCTTACATGCGGTCCATTTTTCTTCCTAGATGGAAATGCACATCATCATGCCCTTATATTTTTATCTTGCTTTTGAGCGAAAAGCTGATGCTCCAAGTGGCAGTATTTCTTTTTTAAAAAGAGAAGCAATTGTTGTTATATATTTCGGTGTGATGAGGGGAAAAACTGAATTAGCTTGCCAAATTAAATACTTCCGAACAGCCTTCTGACCCCCATTTTGCCTGGCATGACATGAGCCAACAAAAAAGCTATTTTAAGATTTGGTGAAGGGGGTGGAAGGAAATGAAAATACAATCTTAGGAAATTATATTCATTTAGGAAACTATGGAACAAGAATTTTGGAACAGTCTTATAAGACTAGTTTCTATAATGCTATCATTCTGGAGGCAGGGTAAAACTTTTTTCCTTGCAGACAGACTACTCAAAGGGATTGGATTGTGCAAAATGATGCTGAATTGTCTGTGTTTTATTGGTTCTTTTCAACAGTTTTACACTGGTTTTGATTTTACTGATAGTTTATATTTTTAATGTGTATCTGGTGTAATTTATTATTATTATTATTATTTGCAATTTCTCTTGTAATTTCAAAGACATATAACCATGTTAGTCTGGAAAATCAGTTTGCAAAGGAAAAATAGTTTCCTGGCACACTACACACATGTCAACATTGCCTAACCTCCCATCTTCATCAAGGTATCCTTGACCAGTTCATCACATCGCTTCTCTTTTTGCCACTCTACATTGCAATGCTCATTTATATACGCACAAAGGATTTGAGACAAATTGGATCTCAAAGGCAGTAGCTTTATGTCTTGCAAATGGAATTGAAAGTTTTTTATCCCTGGCCTGAATCTCCCAGCTCCCAGATGGACAGAAGGAGGACCAGATCACCTGCATGAATACCCATCCATAACATCTGAAACAAGGACAGCAACTACAACATCTTGACCAAATGCAGGCCTACGAGTAACTAACCTGTGTCTTTCCCCCATCTCGCCTTTTTTAATACCCTTCCCTGGTGAAGAAGCCAGTGGAGCTTCGAAAACTTGCAACATATATCATGTGCTTTTTGGTTGGCCCAATAAAGGCATCACCGTCTTAGGGATTTTGTTTTTGTTCTTTTTGTTTTTTTTAATATTAAAATATACTTTATTAACAAATCAGTTTACAAAAAAGTCAGACAAAACACTTATAAAATAAACAAAATGAAACTGACTACAAACATAATGAAAACATATACATACATGAAACTATTAGCACTTCCCTGCCACTCCTCTCCACCATTCCCATTGACTTCCTGCACTACTGTGTCTAAGATGTCCAACTATAACACCCATTTATACTTCTATAACTAATCCATCTTTTACAAATCAATTTTGCCAAATCTTTGCAACTTAATTAACAATAACAATAACTATATAACCAACATTCTTCTATTTAGAAAAGCTTTCCTATCTAGTCATCAAAGCCTACAAACACACTATCTCCGGTTCTTTTTTCCATATACAGTGGGTCCTTGCTATCTACTGGAGTTTGGTTCCCTGTGAATAACAAAATCCATGGATGCTCAAGTCCCATTAAATACAATGGCATAGTAAAATGGTGTCCCTTATATAAAATGGGAAATCAAGGCTTGCTATTTGGAATTTATTTATTTATTTTTGGAATATTTCAAGCCATGGATGTTTGAATCCATGGATAAAAAAAAAATCCATGGATAAGGAGGGCTGACTGTAATGCACAAAAGGTTGCCATGTTTTCAAATAAGTCTGCACTGGATGTCCCTTCAACAGATTGGTCAACTTGTCTGATGTAGCCAGGTCTCATAACTTTTCTATCCACTCCTCAATACTTCTGCCTCCAATATTTTTTAGCATACAATATTCTTGCGGCTGTAATCAGATAACAAATTTATATAGTGTTTATTCTCTGATTTCTTACTAAAACAGTCTAATTTGTACTTCTGACTGTAAAATCTTATTCATTTGCTTCCCTATATTTTGCCAATATTTTTTTTGTCTTTTTACAACTCCACCACTGGTGATAAAAGGAGCCAATAGAGTTTTTACATTTCCAACGCTCAATATTTATATTTTTATATATTTTTGCCAATTTGTCTTGTGTGAGATACCACCCATACATCATTTTGAAATATTTTCTCTTCAGATCATTACAAGTAAATTTTAAACCTTTCAACCACACTTTCTCCCATTGGTCCAGATGGATATTACATCCCAGATTTCTTGCCCATTTCACCATGCATTCTTTAATTTGCTTCTCTTCTGTTTCCAAACTTAACAGTAATTTATAAAATTTTTGCAATTAAGTGGGTATCTTCTGTATCGATCGGGATGTCAAACTCCGTTTTCCTTTTTCTCCCCAAAATTAAATCTATTCTTGACTTCTTTAAATCTTTCTCTTAACTGATAGTACATTAATGATGATATTTTATGTCCTCCTCCTTCTAATTGTTGTAGTTCTTTAATTTTCCACTTATGGATTTTGTCTTATGGATTTTGGATGATACTGTACTCATTCCCCATGCATCTGAAGAAGGATCAAGTTGGAGAATTAAAAGTATTTGAATCAATTTCAGGTCTTAAAAGAAGCAAGGACAAATCAGCAATACTAACTAAAAATTTGAATATGGCTGAAATTAAAATTTTGGAAGCAAATCCTGGATTGAAGGTCCATGAAAAAGTAAAATACTTAGGAATTTCATTAAGTAACAAAAACTCTGATTTGTATGCAAATAACTATGGAAAAACTCTGGACAACAACCAAAGAAAAATTGGAGAAACTTGAAACTTTCATTACTAGGGAAAATTGCTGCGGTAAAAATGAATGTACTCCTTAAGTTCCTTTTTCTGTTTCAAATGATTCCAGTTATAAAAAACGATATCCCTTTTAAAGAATGGCAAAAAGGGATCTCAGATTTTAAATGGAATGAGGAAAAACCAAGGGTAAAATTAAAATATCTGCAGGATGCTAAAGACTTGCCATGCCAAATCTTAAATTATATTTTGAAGCTGCTTGTATAACTTGGATTAAAGAATGGCTGATCTTAAAGGATAAAGATTTATTACATTCAAAAGTTGTGTCCTATACAACTTCAGTGGGACTTTCTGCTAGGGAAGTGGATCCAAGATTGCAACTAAGAATGTCTACTCAAAAGCCTTGAGTTCAATAGGACTTGTTCCTAGGGAAAGCCTGGAGTTCAAGAAAAGAGCATTGGGCATTCTGGTGGGGGAGATTCCAATATAATTAATTTAATAATAATAATAATAATAATAATAATAATAATAATAATAATAATAATAATAATAATAATAATAATAAATTATTTATATCCCGCCCCTCTGCAAAGCAAAATTAATGTCTCTGGCCCATGGGGTTTGTTGTTTGGTAAGTTATCTAGAGAGCCAGTGTGGTGTAGTGGTTTGACACTGGACTATGACTCTGCAGGCCAGAGTTCGAATCTTGGCTTGGCCATGGGAACCCACTGGGTGACCTTGGACGAGTCACTCTCTCTCAGCCTCGGGGAAGGCAATGACAAGCCCCCTCTGAACAAATCTTGCCAAGAACACCCCATGATAAGGGTGCTTTAGGGTCATCAAAAATTGGAAACAAGTTGGAGGAACACAACACAGAACAACGTCCTCTGGGTTGTGCCTCTTATCTTGCCTTTCTGCACCTTCAATAAAAAAACCTGGCCTTCCCTAAACACACACGATTTCTCTGCAGCCGTTTCCCTATATACCAGGGAACAACAATCTACTTAAACAAGTGTCAAAATTTATGAAGAGACAAATAAACGGATTGAACCATCTTCTAAACAAATTCCAACAGAACCTGTACAGGCAGAATCAGAAATCATGCCGACATTGCCGCCTTCGGTCGGCTGGCCAAACGGAAGAGAAATATCACGGCCGCACCCATGTGAAGCCGCGAGATGAAAATCCTAGCTTCTGGCAAGTTATTTAACACTCCAGAGCCAATGAGCTGAAAAAAGCTATTCAAAAACGGTGGATGGTTAGAGCATCAGGGAAGAAGTGCAACTTCTAAAATGTGGATTTGCTGCTTATCTAGTCTTTCAAATCACGTGGATATGCCTCATGCATCTCTGCCTCTTTTTCCTACTTTTTTTGCAGGATTACAATGAGAAGTCAATTCAAGTTGCATCTTCACTTGCAGAAATAATCCAGTTTGACACCACTTTAACAACTTTGGTTCAATGCTGCGGACTTCTCGGTATTGTAGTTTATTGGGGCGCCAAAGCTCTCTGAAAGAGAAGGCTAAATGTCTCACAGAACTACAGTTCCCCGAATTCCCTAGCATTCCCAGCAATGTCAAACTGGATTACTTCTGCAGTGTGGATGCAGCCCCTTGTGATCAATTGTAAAGGCATTCTTGCAAACACAAGTTAGCTATTATTTGCAATACCTATTTTCCAGAGGACATCACAGTAAACCATGGTTTATTGGGA